ACACTGGTATTTTTGTCTCATCAGAGCTCCTTAGAGCAATTTGAGGGCAGTAACCCCATGTATTTCTTCAGTACTGTTCACAAGTCAAATGTTGGTTTAGATCTCTTGTGATAATTGTTTTTATATGATATGCAATTATACCAGTGCGGGGACTGACCTTTGGCTCAAAACTTTCCCCAGAGGGAATTTGAATGTGAACTAAATATTAAATATCAAGAATTTCTTGCCGATGTTCCTAAGTGCAATAGTGCTAACAGAGGAAAGTTGATACAAAACAATGCATGCGTAGTATTTTAATGAAGTGTCATACTGTGTGCTTTCAAACGCTTCCTAGCAGAAAAGAATACAAAGCAAATATTACAATGTCATGTGTTAAATGTATGTAAAGAACATGTAGGTGATCACTGTACTAGTATTCACTTTTTCTCTATGTTTAATATTTTTCATAATACAAAAGTTGAAAACATTGTGACACCACTGGCATATCCTGTGGGCTTCAGTGGTTTTTGGTTTTTGTTTGTTATTTGTTTCATTTTGGTTTTCTTTTGTTTTTTACTGTTTCTTTCCTATTTATTATTTATTGCTAAATAGTATTTGACTGTATGGATATATCACATTTTGTTTATCTACACACCAGTTTGTGGACATACAGAGGGTGCCAAAAGAAGTATACACATTTAAGAAAGGAAAAACCGTATTAAAATTGTAATACAATGAATGATGCTAGCATTCATTTGATTAACGCCATTTTTTGAGGGAACGTCATACTACACATTGCTACCGTAATTTAATTCAACTTCGAAAACTAATACATAGATAACATTTCTTTACATACATACAATTTGTTTTCACCCCCCCATATGCTTTTTGTGCTAAATGCATAATGCTGCCTAATTATTCACATAGCAGTCTTTATGCAGGCTTCAATGGTTTTATAAAGAAGCTTAAAATATTAATAATGTTTTTCTAAAAATGGCTTGTGCTCTGGCACCATCCAGTAAAGTTATTGTCAAGCCTCATGTTTAAATTTCAATAAAACAAGAACAGCTAGAAGTTTCAGAAAAGGTTCTTCCGGGTAATTTAGCTTTCTGGTGAAGTAAGGGTTTGAGGACATGGTATCTTTTTGTTTTGTTTCAATGTGCCTCATCTCCTGCTTTTGCAAACATAATACAATAAGCTTAACAATGTTTCACAGATAATTAAAAGTTTTGCAGGGTCCCCTGATGACTAAACAGGGAGCTGCTGTCCAAGACTCTAGAGAACAATGTCTAGCAGAATGCGTTTTCTAAGCTGTGAATCTAGAACATAGCATGAGGTTGCTTTTCACTTAATTCCCTAGTATGAGTTATTTTTGTAAAACCTTCTCTAATCATCTTAGCACCATTTATTTGTGCCTAACTATATTCCAGGAACCTTACACACTTTCACACTCTTATATAGCTCACAGACTCCTGGTGGACAGGTGGGCACACCCGTGAAGATGGTGGCCCTGCACTGCTCTCACCACATACCACACGCACCTGGATTGTAACTCAGGTCTGTCTTCCAGGTCTGTTCTTTCTATTGTACTGCTTGGTGCCAACCTGCACATGTAACTGCTTCTCTTAAAAGGTAATTCTGCAAACTGAAGGAGTAAGCGATTTGGTTGTTTTCATAGTCTCATACCAGGGCCAGTTGATATGCTACCAAATTCCTACACTAATTTCTGGAAAGCAAGCTGATTACCACCTATGTATACTTGCTCATCTCTTGAGCAGAATAATAAGAGCTAACATTTACTGGGACATAAAAAATGTCACACACCAACAGGTATTTTTTAATGATTTTCTCATTCAATCTTTACAAAATATTTGTGGAATAAAAACTATTATTATCTATATTTCACAGCTGAGCACACAGAAGACTATCAAATAAGTGAAGTTGCCAACAGATTAAAACATTATTTCTTTCATATATTTTTTAATTGAGGAATAATTATCAATTCCTTTAAATATTAATCAAAACACTGGTGATTTAGAAACCATGTCATTTCAGAAACTGCAAGAACTTATAAAAATAATTTTATTTAGAAATATTTTTCAGCATTAGGTCATAGAAATGGCGGCAGTGAGAAGGGCTCCCTGAGTTCTCCCCTGGAAATTACCGCAAAATGAACAGCTGTAACACATCAAGGGAACCTCTGCTTATCACACAGAACAGCTGAGTGGCTCGCAGGACGATTACTTGAGGGTGGGCAAACAGGGTCAGTGGGGGAAGAGGGAAGGGAGGCGTGGGAGATGCAGCCTGCATCCGTGTCTGCGGAGATGCGGGGCCCCAGGAAGCAGATCAGAGAGAATTTACAGTGGCAAGGCGACAGGCCCATACCCTGCACCCCACAGTTTCGTGGAGAATTTAGCAAGAGCACGGCGGTGCACAGCGTCTGATGCAGAAGCCTCAGCTCAAAACTCTGGCAGGGCTCTCATAGACAGAAAGCAAAAACAACTCCATAAAGAAGACCCCACTCCCACCCTCCCTCAGAAACCCTAGCCTAGCCATTCCAGAGTTTTAAGCTGATCCCTGAATGGAGGACTAGTGTCAGATTACAGACGTGCTCCTACTCCCAGGAAATGGAAAAACTCAGCTAGGGAAGAGGCTGCAAAAATTGTGGGGCTGCTTACCCTGTCTCCACCTTTCCTGCACAGCTTGGCCACTGGCAGGGCAACTTCAGCTGCTGAGTCACTTGCTGGACTCTAGCAGGGTGTGGCACAGGCACTGCTGGGCTTTTAGCAATCGGAAATCTCACACTCCACACAGCCCCCAGCGGAAAGAGTGCCTTAAGACACATATCGAGCCTTCTGGTCGTAGAGCTCTCAGTGTGCTCATGGATAGGGAAAATTAAAATAGTTATAATGTCCATGCTACCTAAGACAGTATATAGATTTAATGCAATTTCTATCAAACTATCAAAGACATTTTTTCTCAGAAATAGAACACATAATCCTAAAATTTATATGGAACCATGAAAGACCCTGAATAGCCACAGCAATCTTGAGAAATAAGAACAAAGTGGGAGTTATCATGCTACCCAACATCAAATCATACTACAAGGCTATCATAATCAAAACAGTATGGTACTGACATAAAAACAGACACATCGATCAATGGAACAGAATAGACAGCCCAGAAATAAATCCATCCATATATGGTCATTTAATCTATGACAATGAAAGCAAGAATTTACATTGCAGTAAAGATAGTCTATTTAATAAATGGTGCTGGGAAAATTGGGCTGACACATGCAAAAAAATGAAAATGGACAACCTCCTTACACCATATACAAGAACAAATTCAAAACAGATTAAAGACTTAAATGTAAGACCTGAAACCATACGACTCCTAGAAGAAAATATAGGGAGTAAATTTGCAGACATTACCCTAAGCAACAATTTTACTGATATATCCCCATGGGCAAGGGAAGTAAAAGAAAAAATAAACATATGGGATTACATCAAACTTTAAAGTTTTTTCACAGCAAAGAAAACCATCAGTAAAACAAAAAGGCAGCCTACTGAACGGGAGAAGATATTTGCCAATGATATATCTGATAAGGGGTTAATATCCAAAATTTATAAAACACTCATTCAACTCAACACCAAAAAAACAAACAATCCAATTAAAAAATGGGGAGAGGATATGAAGAGACATTTCTCTAAAGAAGACTATACAGGTGGCCAACAAGCATCTGAAAAAATGTTCAACTTCATAATCATTAGAGAAATGCAAATAAAAACCACAATGAGATACTACCTCACTCCAGTCAGAATGGGTATCATTAATAAATGAACACACACCAAGTGTCGGCAAGGTTGTGGAGAAAAGGGAACTCTGGTGCACTGTTGGTGGAACTGCAGATTGGTGCAGCCATTATGGAAGTGAGTATGGAGGTATCTCAAAAAAATGAAAACGGAGCTACCGTATGATGCAGCAATTCCACTCTTGGGTATCTATCCAGAGAAACCCAAGACACTAATTCGAAAATATATATGCACCCTATGTTCATTTCAGCGCTATTTACAATAGCCAAGACTTGGAAAAAACTGAAATGCCCATTGGTAGATGACTGGATTAAGAAAGGGTGGTACACTTATATAACGAAGTATTACTCAGCTATAAAGAAGAATGAAATCTTACCATTCACAATGATATGGATGGATCTAGAGAACATTATGTTAAGTGAATAAGTCAGTCGGAGAAAGACAAATACCATATGATCTCACTTATATTCGGAATCTCAAGAACTGAATAAATGAGCAAAGTAAACAGAAATAGTCTCAGAGATATAGAGGAAAAACTGATGGTTGCTAGATGGGAGGGTGTGGGGATGAGGGATAAAGGGAAGGGGTTAGATATCATAAATTGGTAACTACAATATTGCCACAGGGATATGAAAGACATTTTGGGGAATATAATACATAATGTTGTAAATATTTTGTAGGGTGTCAGTTGGTCGCATGTCTTGTTAGGGACACCACTTCATGGATGGTGTAGAGGCTTGATCACTACATTGTACACCTGAAGCTGACATTGAATAATATTGTATGTCAAATATAATTTAATATATATATATATATATATTCATATGTAGTCACGGGATGTTGAATATAGTGTGGGTAGTGGAGTCACTGGAATTGTAATAGATATGTATGATAAGGAGGGGGGCGGTGTTGAGGGAGAGGTGTTGTCACTTTGTGAGGAGTGAAAAGTATAACGATAGCATTGTTTTGTATACCTGAAACTAATATGAAAGAAAGAAAGAAAGAAAGAAAGAAAGAAAGAAAGAAAGAAAGAAAGAAAGAAAGAAAGAAAGAGAAAGAGAGCCAAAAAAAAAAGTGGTGGCAAAAATATGACCCACCAAAAAAAAAAAAAAAGGAAATTGAATTCAAATAAATGAAAATTCCGGTAAATAAATAGAAGAGGCACATTCTACTTCCACATTTTCTAGCTCCAAAGATTTTAGCTCTTCAATCATGGGAAGTTTTTCTGCCCCAGAGTAATTGTCCTTTTTGTACCTGCCATTCAAAAAATCTATTCAGAGCCCCCTTTATGTCTTTGTTCCTGAGACTGTAGATGAAGGGGTTCAGCATGGGTGTAACGATGGAATATATCACTGAGGCTGTTGCACTTGACTGTGAGCTGTGGGTCACAGCAGAGCTGAGGTACACTCCTAGACCAGTAGAATAAAATAAGGAGACAACCGAGAGGTGAGACGCACAGGTAGAAAATGCTTTATACTTCCCCTGAGCAGATGACATTGCACGTATACAGGATACTATCTTAGAGTAAGAGTACAGGATCCCAGTGAGGGGACCACCAGCCAGTAAGACAGATGTAAAATACATCACCATGTTGTTAGGAAAGGTATCAGAACAGGCAAGTTGGGTGACCTGATTGAATTCACAGAAGAAGTGGGGGATTTCGACGTCTGTACAGTAGGACAGATTCAGCACCATTAAGCTTTGTAACAAGGAAATCGGGACACTGATGATCCAGGATGCCAGAACCAGCAGCCCACAGAGCCGGGGGTGCATGATGGCTGTGTAGTGCAGGGGGTGACAGATGGCCACGAAGCGGTCATAGGCCATCATGGTCAGGAGACAGACATCCAACACTCCAAAGTGTGTGAAAAAATATATCTGTGTGATGCAGCCTTCATAGGTTATGACTTTGCTCTGTATCTGGATGTTCACTAACATCTTGGGGACGGTGGTGGAGGTGAAACAGATGTCCACAAAGGACAGGTTGGAGAGGAAGAAGTACATGGGCGTGTGGAGGTGGGGGTCTGAGCTGACGGCCAGGGTGATGAGCAGGTTTCCGAACACGGTGATCAGGTACATGGAGAGGAAAAGCCCAAAGATGAGGGACTGCAGTTCTGGTTCCTCTGAAAGTCCCAGGAGAAGAAATTCTGAAATTCGCGTACCATTGCCTGGTTCCATGAGGTAGAGGTGATGACTAGGAATGAAGAAATAACAAGATTAATCTTCACACATGGACACTGCCGGCATGTTGAAAAGTTACAATTTATACTTTGTAGTCAAATACATATATATATATATATATATATGTATGTATGTATACATGGTTTTGTAGAGATTCGATCCCGTTTAAGAAATCCCCATTACATCTCTGATTAGGAATACCTGTTCCACTCTCAGCATTTTGCCCAGTAAATCATGTCTTTTGCAGGATTGATGAGAAATTTGTTCACTCATTTGAATAATATATGCTGAGTTCTGACCATTTTCCAATCAAGGATTGTAGGGTGCTGAGAAGCAACACTTCCTTTAATTTGATAAGGGAGGAAGACTATAAGCAAGTAAAACATCATATATCATCTCAGTCTATGGAGGTGCTTTGAAGAAAAAGGAGGTATAACAGACAGTGGATGAGCATATTATTCTTACTGGGAATCGAGAAAGACCTGCAAAGAATGTGCCATTTAACAGATACCTGAAGGAAGACAAAGGGAAGACATGAAGGCATCTGGGAAGTGTGTCGCCTGCATAGGAAAGAGCCAGTGCAGAGGCCTGAGGTTGGCACTCGGTTCAAATAATCAAGTCTCACAAAGCAGCCATGTGGTGAGGGGAATCAGGAAGGAGAGTGATAGAGATGGTGTCAGAGAGTGCTGAGGAATGAGAAGGCCTGTCTGCTACAGATGAAACTTCAAGACACAGGCAGCCCATCAGTTACATGTTTTTTCTTCCACTGTTTTAATTTTGTTTCCAAGGACTCCAGTGATTAGAAGTGATCTCTTCTTTACTTCCATCTATTGGTTAACATTCTGGCATTGGTATTTTAAGGGACACATTTTGGAGTATATGAGCTAGTACCCCTGCCCTGAGAACTGCTCATGCTCCATAAACCACACACACACTCACACACATGCACACACACTCACACTATAACCTCCTGGGACCATGTTACTACCAGGCTCTACTAAACTCCAATCAAAATAATTAGGAAAGAACATATACAAGGCATGCTGTCAACATCAGATTACCTTTCCCTTAGAGAATATAGAAAGAACACGCAAATTCCAGTTGGTAAGCCTCAAATGAACATGTAAAAACTTGGCTATGCCATTTTCTGCCCTATGTTTAAAAAAATCAGTTCAATGGAGAGATAAAATGGAGAGAGAGAGGGAGAGAGAGAGAGAGAGAGAGAGAGAGAGAGAGAGAGAGAGAGAGAGCGAGAGAGAATCTAATAATCCACAGTGGTCCCAGCGTGATGAAGAAAACTTCCTTGGTTTTGGCAACATGCCAGCTGCAGGTACAGTGCCTCAATGTCCACAATAACCAATGAAATAGCAAATCGCAGTTCATTTAAAAGAGAAAAGAACAATATCTTCATGTTGTCAAGACACCTTACAAATAGAACATCCCCCTAGAAAAATGTGCAAAGGGAATAAACCTGCAATTTCCAAAAGAAAATATACAATGTGCATGAAAAGCAGGGTATTTTTAAAGCTGAAACTGGGACAGACTTTTGTAAATGACATTCGATGCAAAACTTTTGGAATCAGAAAACCGTGTTTTGCAAGCTGATGGCTACCAGATGGGAGGGAGATTAGGCGTTGGGAAAAAAGGAGAAGGGATTAAGAAGTACAAATTGGTAGTTACAAAATAGTCATGGGATGTAAATTAAAGCATAGGGAATATACTCAATAATATGATAATAAGTATGTATAGTGCCAGGTGGGTACTAGACTAGTCAGGGGGATCACTTCTTAAATTATATAAATGTGTAACCACTACACTGTACACCTGAAACTAATATAAAATAATATTGAATTTAAACTGTAATTGAAAAATAGAAAAGTGAGGAGGAATAGCTGAAGGGGAATAAGAGGTTCAAATTTCCACATACGAAACAAGTAAGTCATGGGGATGTGATGTACGGCAGGGGAAATATAGTCACTAATATTGTGATACCATGGTACAGTGTCAGATCATTGCTGGACTTACTATGGTGATCACTTCTTTAGGTATATAAGTGTTGAATAACTATGGTGTAACCTAAAACTGATATAAAACACTGTATGATAGGTATATTTTGATAAAAATCTTTAAAAAAGAAAATAAAACCAAGAAATTAAAAACATTATTGATTCATTTTAAAATAACAATAAACCCATGAAGTGTTTAATATATTTTAATAAAAAATAACCATATTTTTCCAAACAAAAACTTATATGAAAGAGAGTATCATTATTTGACATTTCTGCACATCTCTTTAACATCTGGCTTAATAAAACACAGCTGATTTCTCAAAAAACAAGTAAAAACCCAACGGGTTTTGATTCTGGGATATACCCCCTCTTAGCATTTTGAACCAGGAGAGACACCCGGACCATTCTAAATACTAACATCCTCACCCAAATAGTGCAGAGTGGTGTCCATCAGAGTGGTGACAGATTTGAACAATGTATGTGAAATGCTTAGCCCAGGTCCTTCCTCTTGGTAAGTGAATGGCTTTCTCTGGTGATGAGATGAGGTTGATTATTTTCTTCTACCTCTCAAATGTCTCCAATGCTTCCTCATCTCTTGGGGCCAATTCCACAGCCTCATTTCAGTTCCTTGTCATCTCCCATCTAGCACAGGCTGGAACCCCTTTAGCCAAATATTCGCATTGACTCATGGAGAGCTCAGTACATTACAAAGCTGATCATGGAACTCCCTGATTTTTATCCCCCTAGTGACTCTCCAATGGAGATAGAAGCCAAAATTCTGTAGCTTCACACAGGAGGCTCAAGTCTCTGTGACCTTGCTGCCAGCTTCACCCTCACAGGGCCCTGCCCTGACTCACACTGATCTCCCAAACATTGAACTTGATCCTCACCTTCACCTGACACTACAGCTTCAAGGCTCAGAGCTTGTGCACACCGCTATTCTTTGCTTGCAGTCTCCCCACTGGTTTTTCTGGAATTTTCTACCCCCTTTCCCATCCTCCAAACTCCCTCTTTTCAAAATGGCTCGATCCTCTCCTTCATGAGCCTTTTTTTCCCCTTAACATTATCACAGTTTTCCTGAGATAATGCACATTCTCAAGCACGTAATTTAGGTGTTAGAGTGCCCATGGTGTAATTTTTATTTAATTCAATGTCTTTTTTTGCCTGCTAGACTTGGTTTGGATGGGAACAGTAGCTGAATAAATATGTCTTCTATGATGGAGAGAACATATTCTCACAGAAATTGCCAATGATGAGAGAGAAAAGAGAAGGAGGAAATACTAACCTAGGTATGGAGAACATGCTAGAGGAATGTTTTCCATAATCTGAGGTCTGGACACATTAAGAAGTCAGACTATGGCCTGTTAGAATTAAATGGAATAGAATCAATAAGGCACAAAAGAAAAAATCTGTATATACAAAGGGAAGGTACATAAGAGTAAATAATCATTTCATGGTCTCTTTGTTCGGTCATGTGTGTGTGTGTGTGTGTGTGTGTGTGTGTGTGTGTTTTGCCATTTTGTGTGTAGATATGCTAGGTCACAATGTAAAAAGAATATCTTACTTAGGGACACAGTCAAAATAACCAGAAATCCACTGCAATAAATGCAAGATTAATTTTAAATGGTCACTTTCTGCCAATGAGGGAAAAGCAATAAAATGAGGAGCCCCAGCAGAGAGCCATGTGGAGGGAAGAGACAGCCAGCATGGGTGATCAAGTTACCTCAGACTCAAGGGACCACACACTGTGACAGGACCTTTCCTGCTCCACGGCCTCATCAAGGAGTCCACCTCAGTCCCTGATCTAATTGTTATTCCTGCTCCTATTCCGTGTTTATTTGATCACCTTGTTTTTATACAGCCCAGTAGTGGATGAGGCTGGCCCTTCTCTCACTTTTCTGTGTGGAATTCTTTCCTTTGCTATTCTCGGGCTTTGAGTTTTGACCTCTTTTGTGTCACATCTGATGGGTACACTTGTCTTGGTTCTGTTTCTTGTCCAATATGCAATGTCCTCCCCAGACATATTCTATAAGCTCCACTTTAGGCCACAACTATTGATCGATTCCCTTTTATCACTGAGGACATGATGTCATACCACAACTATTTCACTGTATTTGGACTTCTCCATTATAATGTGAGATCAAATAACAGAGACCATGCTCATTTTGTTCACTTATGTGGTTTCACCCAGGTATGCATTTATAAGAAAAAAATGTTAAGAAATAGAAATCTCATAAAATGAAAAGAATTAGTAAGGAAATAAAACCAGGTTAAATAAGTGTATTCAAGTATCTGTATATAGTGAATTGAATAAAAGTGTCAGACTAATCCTAAAAGGAAAGATATCAAATACAACATTTTAATCACATCAGTATGGGCCTCTAATTCATATAAATGGGCAAAGACCTGGAATAAAAGCCATAAAAATACCCCTTTGAGAAGCAATGGAGAAAGCCATATGTACTGTTTTAAGTTCTACCTGTAACACCATAAATGGATTCAAATATACTTAGGAAAAAAATAGAGGCAATCATTAATGAATGCCAAAAAAATGTCATTCACATGATGGGAGAGGATTGTATGTTTTTACATTTAAACATAATGGGGACAGGAGCAACACAATATGACAGGCTGATAGAATTGACTACACAAAATTTACATCTCTCATACATTCCCCCAAACACATCTATATAAAGGATTTGAATGCCAAACAGTAAAGTTAGTGGAAAAAACTTTAATTTAACATAATACAAAAATTAATTGGTGGGTATCTACCCAAAAAATCTGAAACATTTATCTGTAAAGATATATGTACTCCTACATTCATTGCAGTATTATTCAATGTGGCCATGACATGGAAACTACAGAAGTGTCCTTTGATACATGATAGCATAAAGAAGACGAGGTACATAATACTCAATGGAATATCACTCGGCCATAAGAAAATATGAAATACTGCTATTTGCAAAAACATGGATGTATCTTGAG